AGAAGAAATAATCCATGTAGCTGTAGTTGTTTGTGGAAAGCGCTTGGAAGAGGCAACCACCATGTTGAAATCAATTACCGTATTCACCAACCGAGAGCTGAAGTTTCACATTTTAGCAGAAGATTCTCTACATAGAGAGATATACCAAAAGATTGACCAGTGGCCACCTGTACAGAGTGGACAAGTTGACTACAAAGTTTATGGGCTATCTTTTCCAGGTGGAAAATCAAAAGCTGATTGGAAAAAACTTTTCAAACCCTGTGCATCACAAAGGCTATTTCTTCCTGTAAGTTAACATCTTTAGTATGCTGCTTATTGCTCTTTGAGAAAGCACTGTGCAAACTAACTTTGTAGCTAACTGTTGAATTTATAAGGTAGGGGTGGCTGTACTTAAGTTTGCCAACTCTAGAGTATAATTAAAATAAGATAATAACAACCTTATGTCTGTTTATTCCAGTCTGTTTTGAGTGAAGAGGATAGCCTTATTTATCTTGATACTGATTCACTTGTCCTACGACCCATCGAGCATATTTGGAATCACTTCAAACTGTTTAATTCAACGCAACTGGCAGCAGTTACACAAGAAGGGGAAGTTGCAGCCYTGAACTGGTATAGTAGGTTTGCAATGCATCCCTATTATGGCAAATTTGGCATYAATTCTGGTGTAATGTTGATGAACCTTACAAGAATGAGAGCATTTAAAATRGAACRAAAGATTACAGACATATATTTGAAATACAAGTTGAAAATCACATGGGGCGACCAAGACCTCCTCAATATTCTTTTCCACTATCATCCAGGTTTGTTTCAAAATGTGTAGTTTAAAGAATCATAACCAACCGCCGTACCTTGCRCGCTCGTATTATTGTTTACATACRTTTAAATGCGTCAAGCATACAATARATTRTAGATTGAYAGTACCTGTGAGKTACTTAGTTAAAGGTATTTCTGTCCAAACTGAAAGAACAGAAGACGATTCGCGCTCACTTTAAGAAATGCTACAAATCTGCCATTTTCGTGTCCACCTAAAATGGCGCTTTGGCTCACAAGGTACAGCGGTTGGTTATGACTCTTTAACCTTGAACAACATGATGAAAGATTATTAAATAGGGAAAAAACAGTAGTTGCTGYGCAATATATTGCAGAAAGAAAGATAACATTGGCTAATTTACTATGCATGTTGGATGCCTTCAAACCTTTGAATAATAAATTGACCTTAGCAAGGCAAATCATARACTTTTTTCATGATTTTCCCTGCACTTGGAAAAATGTTAATCTTTCATTGAAGGTCAAACATTATCTTTCTTTAAGAAAGAGAAATAGCTATAATTTATTGCTGGTTGCAAGTAGTAATTATAGACTGTTTATTGGTGGAGTAAAATAAGAAATGATAATTTTACAAAAGTTTATTAATCTTCCATGTTTAGAGCTAYTATATATTTTGGGATGTGAATGGAACTACAGACCTGATCATTGCATGTATGGCAACAACTGTAACACAGCTAACAGCAATGGTATCACTGTTCTCCATGGTAACAGAGGAGTCTATCATACTAAAAAAGGACACCCAGAATTCAAAGTTGTATATGATTCAATACTGGACTTTCATCATGGTGGTGATACAAAAGCTGCAATGGAGTCTCTAAAAGCAAAACTAGATACTTATGCTTCTAMTTATTGTGGTCAAATGAGAGATGCATTTTTGAAGCATCCTATGGAATACATACAAACACATAATTGACAAAATGTAATTTTATTTAGAAATTTTTAAGTTCAAATTATTATTGAAATGATTATTGATTTTAGAGGTTTAGGAAATTCCACTGTTTGCAAAAAACATTTTTGAAATAAGGTATTCATACTAAACACTACTCCATTTTACAGTTACACATCAAGCAATCCACATTTTCTTAAAAGCACACACTAACAAGTGTGCGCTGGAGTGATTGTGGGCATACMTCTTCTTCTCCATATTTACCATTACACGATAAATTAATAAAGAATAGTAATTCAGAGAATATAAAATTGTTTATAAAGGTACAGGCGTTTTACTTCTTTTGGGGCTTCCTGTATCTCAATGACCTCAGAAATTTCAATCACACAGCAATTGAGATTTAAACCGGCACCATTCAATATGAAAACCATAAAAGCAACAGTGCTTAGCAGTGTGCGCCTTGTGGTTCATAGTTCATTACGCCTTTGGCATTGATTTTCAAATGCGATTTAGTAGGCGCACACTACAGTAAAAGTTGTGTAAATTACGAATGAGGCTAAAAACAATACTGACAYGTACTTACAAGTGAGTTAATTAGAGTTAGGTTAGTATATTGTTTGCGCCATCCAATGTGTGTGCTTTAAGTTACGTGCATGTTATAAATTCATGCTCAAGTCTGACACCATCAAGAGTGAGCTAACTGCTACTGAGCTATGCACTAAGCATGCTATGGAATACACACAAACAAGAGTTTTAACAYGTAAAATACACTACTTCACTTTATTATTCATATTTTCATGCTTTTCTATGTCTTTTTGTTTTTTATGGATCAATGAAAACCACCATTTCATTTTGAAATTTTCAAGTCCACATTATAACTTGATAAGCACACATTGCCAACATGGGCTTCTTATATGAACAATAGTTGGCAATTTTACATTTATTTATTCATTTATTTCTCTTGTATTTTATGCCTTCATGCAAATGCAGTTGAGCAAGTTAATGGAGAATTGGATTGTTTTTGTTCATTGTGTTCTTATCAAGCTTTTAAAAAATAATTCTTTTGTTGCAATTGTTTTCAATGATTTCAGACTGCTTTCAATATGCCATTTCAAAAGGAAAAACAACAACAACAAAAAACATACAACCTTCTAAGCTATTAAGTAGTAGCTAATCTAATAAAGATATTTATCATATAATTATCTATGAAATACCTATATTTCTCCATTTAGTAAACTTGTTATTTTCACTAGTGAAAATAGCACATTCGAGGTTTCACTATAGTGGAAGTAAGAAAAAAGCTATTTTACGACATAATTTGCTTTCATATACAAATATATGATAAATAGAATATTACATGTTTGCTTGGAGATACAAATTTTATCTTCAATGTCATGTTGAAAATCTCTCACTCGTTTGCTATGCTCACACGTGAGAGATCTTTTCAACACTCGAAGATAAAATCTGTATCTCCATGCGCCCATGTAATATCCTCTATATGTTACATGCAAATGCACTCTATTATATTGGAGTTTTAATGTCAGTAAATACGTTTTCACTAAACATTTGTGTATGACAAATTATATTAATTTTTATAAAATATAAGTTTTATAAAAATAGAATGCCAGTGACAATATATATGCCTCCCTTGCATCTTGATATTATTGCAACAGTTCTCTACTGGCATCATTTTTGTATTGCATTTTGCTCAGAGAAATATTCTGGAGATAAAGGAATCAACTGTACCAGTAGTCCACATGTATAAGCTTTTTGTTCACCTTTTTGTTCACTTTGCTTGACAATATTGAGTAAAGATTTGTCAGAGCTGAATGATAATTAAGGCACTTGCAGGCACTTGACATTTGCTGAAGGAGTACTTGAGTTTTAGGACTATTTTTTTACCTATTGTTCTGACAATGTTTTTCTTGCCATTTGGAGAGCACCATCTCTTGTTTCATTACCACCAATGAAACCACTTGCATGCACAAAAACACAGCCAGGAATACCACTCAATTGTGACAGTTCATTATCTCGAATTCCTCTCCACTTTTCTAATAAACTTAACCTGATATAAATCAAAATGTTTGTCAGCGATTTTATTGAATTCAAAGTATTTTTGGTTGATTAGGACTTACCTGTTTTCAAATGAATGTGCTCTAACAGGGACACACTAAAAAAGAATAGAAAGAATTCTCAAATTAGTAGATTGCCTACATTTTCTAAAATTATCATATTACTACAAACATAATATTGGAGAAGGTATGGTCAAAGAAGGTTATGTGAAGGYCAAAACTTATCTTAGTAGTAAAGCTTTTTAGACTAGTTTTGATATGCTGTTCTGAAATATGAAATTATTTTGACAATTCTCAAAAACGTGATACAAATCCTTGGAACTTATCTATGTAATCTCTTATCACTAAGTTACCTTGCTAAAGCTATTGACAAAGAACACTGGTAGTGATGGTGTGCTTTGTTGTGGCACAAAACAATGATGTGGGATGATGAATTACCTGGACTCTCCACTTCCCACTGTTATCTGAATAAATTACAAATTTKATTGGTTTTTCAACTTCAAGTGGTTCTTCAAGTTCAAAAAGGTGCTGTTTCCATGGACATCCTGCACTTGCCAATTCTATTATTTCACCACTTTTATCGACCTAAATGAWAATCAATTAGAAGTACTAAAAAACAATCAAGTATATAATAGCTTGAAGAGTAAAAACTAACGCAAGGAAGTTTTGAATTATTTCGACGTTTCAACAATATCTGGCATCATTCTCAAGAGAAAAGAGTAATAATTCAAAAAGCAAAGTTATAAGGTTGAGTATAAAGTCCCCAGATGGTAGAGTTAGTAAAAGATCTTCGCCTTGACAGAGTCCGATTGGATGTTCAGGGATGTCGCCATCCTTGCATTAGTTTTTACTCTTCAGATAACAAACAAAGCCATATTAATCAAGTAATAGCTTGTTTTCAAAAGTTTTTGGGGAGGTGTTCGCTTGAGTATCRCTTGAGTACTACAAATACTTTATTGTGGCTACCTCCTATAAGGAAAATATTTACCACCCCACCCTATCTACCTCATGTCTTTGYTTGATAGCTTTCTCAACCAAGTCCCTTGCTGGAAGCCAACTGTTTTTGTAGTATAAAACCTTGTCCAAAAACTCAGCTCCAGCCATCTGCAATGCCTTATGGAATTGTGCCTAACAACCATGCACACACAATAAAATGTAATTATTGAATTATTCAAACTGAAATAAAAAAAGTGAGAAACAACATTTTTTGCTTACATCAGGTTGTGGATCAATATCATTCCATCTTGGATTAAGTCCACCAACTCTTGCACTCAAATGTGTCGTAATTTCGTATCTAATATAAAACAATCAATATGATTTTATGGTTGGAGCATCCATGTACAACATTATATAAAAGTCTTTTTGCTATATATAAAGCAAAGTAGCAATTATTTGTTTGGGGGGAGGGGGAGGAGGGAGGAAGGGGAGGGGAGGGTACTCCCCACCAACTTGGGGGGGGGGGGGGGGGGGGGGGGGTGTAGCTGGGACCTCAAAGCCCTGACCTTGTTCCAGAGTGAAATCACTAAAAAATGATACTAGCTTGCATGCAGACCAAATTTGTACCCCATGAATTTCTACCAAGACAGGCTAGAGCTAAGAAAAAATTCAAACAACTGCTGAGTTCCTTTATCTCAGTATAATCCATAGATTCATATATTTTATGTCCTGTCAACACAACATTTGTACCCATAAAGTTAACTAGATGTCTTAAGGGCATAATTCAAAGGTCACAACGATAAAGATACTGCTTAGAAGGGACTTTTCTACCCTTCTTGTCCCTCTAAAGAACTGGTTTGCTGTTATGATAATCAAATATCCAAGGGATCACCACAGGAGTCTGACTCAATGCTTTCAAGAAATTATTTTGATTTGGCGAGTCTAATCCGTATTTTATCAAAGAATGCTTGTCTAGAGTTCGCGTATTACAATAAAGAAGTTTTAGAGCTATTTTAAATGATGTCAATAGCCTTGATCTACGTTTCTTTTGAAAGTGTCTTTTACTTGTACTGGAAGACAACTCGCATTATCCGAGCTATTCCTGGCCAGAAAGAGGACAATTTTCGGTGAGGGATTAAAGAACCCTTTCTTAGAATTTTTTTCTTAGCTCTAGCTTGTCGTGCAGCATYGATAATTCTGGAATTAATTTAAAATTTATTCTTTATTTTTTGCAAACTTTTTAAAACAAATCTGTGTCATATACTACCCCATGCTCCCCAACAACGTACCTTGGATCACTGTCAGTTTGATGGACACCATTATCAATTGCATCTACTTCTTCAATAAAGTTAATATACACTTTGTCATATATTTTATCAGTGATAGGATCGTTTACAGGAAATCCTATTATMTCAGATAGTACTCTATGACCAAAATGTAAGTATACCAAGCCAGCACTACTAAGCTTTGTAGACCATAATTTTCGTGACTCTGTCAGGCTTTGCATGGTTCCTGTGAAGCTTCTGATAACAACAAAAATATATATAGAAAATAAAGATGGATGCATTAGGGAGTGACTTATAAAGCAATCTAAGAAGATTTTGACTTGAATTTAAGAATAATTCTCTGTATTCAAAAATTAATTAATTCAAAAAATAAAAGATTCCTCTACATAGATAAAAGAAATTTATTTTTTAAGCTTTTGGATCAACAAATTTTCCTTTGCTCTCATTGGTCGAGAGTTGACCATGTGATGCAATAAGTGCACACCCTGGAGGCATACTCTATCACTGCTTATAATTCAACAGCAAATTTTCCTTTATTCCCATTGGTCGAGAGTGACCATGTGATACTATCAGTGCATAGAGTCCACTACTTCAGAACAATTTTGTTCTTGAATATTAAAAATAGATCAATAAAAATGTTGAATAATAAAAACAATAGTTATTCACAGAAACTGGATGTCCCTCAAAACTTCATAGTCACCTAAGAAAGCAGTTCGAGATGTATGAGGAACATTAAGTTTCTTGGAACAACTATCACAACATGATKCCCTTGCTTCAACTATTCTACTGTTTAAATATTGATATAACAATGCCATCACTAAAAAAATTACAAACCTTTGATGATGATCGTATCGATGCTTCTCTGGACTATATACCCCTCCAACATCAACAACAACATTACATGTATCAAGAAGAGCAGGGTCTCTTGTTCTAATGATTTCAGCATCTTTGTATTCAGGCAGCTGCTTCAGCATAAAGCAAGCCAAAACTTCATCACAATGAAAGGTCCCATTRTGAGTTCCAATCTTCTTTTCTAGATGAGGCTTTTTAGCTGATACTGACTCCATTCCTGAAAAAAATTACAAATCATAGGTTTTCAAAAATATCTTCAGTAATTCAAAAACAAAGGAGCAATAAACCCTCTTCTGGAATCAGTCTACCACAGCATTACCAGACTGGTATGCATGTAGTTGCCATAGCAATTCAGCAAGTCCTGGTATCTGTCCATCTACAGTATCATATAAGTATAGCAGGACTTATACTCTTGGTTTGAATGCTATGCCATGTTATCAATTAAAAATATTCTTCTCTAASCTTACTATCTCGCTGGTAAGAATTGAAATCAATAAAATGTTATGCTGATCCCTATACCATCCATGGAAACTCACCGTGCGTAGAAGGAGCAAAAGAGACGTTTCGTCTGGTCAAAAAACTGCAAAACACAAATGAAGTCCGATTTTGAGCCACGCGGGAAAACATCGGTCCCGCAATGATTTATGGGGCAGTAACACAGGTATCCCAAAMAGCTATTCCTTTCTGAGGCAGGCAGTTTTCTATCTTTTTCTTTTTTATTTCTTATGAATAATTGCYTTTGTTGCTGTTGTCATTTATTTACGATAACTTAAAATTCTTCGAAACTGTTGTCAAATATGCTTAAAAGCTGTGAATCAATAGAAACAACAGGAGATAGAAAAACCAAAATTTTCATTTTTGTAAGGTTTTCCTCCCTGGCCATCAAACTCTACATTTAGCTAATTTCATTACTTTTAATTTTGTTTTTAATCGTCCTAAATTGATACTTTAAAGCAAGATAAACGAGGGTTATTATTAATAGAATTTCGTGACATRCGTTACCATACTATAAATCATAAAAACATGAACGCATCTTCTAGATAATCATTGAGGCAAATCAAGTGAACAGAGCACACCATTTTTGATAAAAAGAATTGAAAAGAAACATTCATTAGGAAGATTTTAAGGTTATTTCCGTTGAGAGATAAGATTAACTTATAAGTTAGCAATTTTCCGAAAGTTGGAGCAAAAAAACATCTGCTTTTGACGTCACTAAAATTTGTTTATAACACATGAACGATGTATAGTCGGTAACCTAGCAACAAGCAAAATTTCAAGTGCATTATGGGATAGATAACCATACGAAAATATTCAAGTAAGACTTTGTTCTAAAACTCTTATGGTTATGATATTGTTTCTCGTCAAATTCATCTCCGATCGCTTTTAATTTGACATATTTGGCAAGTACAAGTATTGAAGAAGCTGTGTTGCTAATATTTTTTAGAGGAAGTATTGGTGCTAAAGGTTTTACTTGGTCTTTCTGTCTCCGCCATGGCGAAGTGAGCATGTTTGCATAAAACACAAGAACTCCTGCTTCTTTGATGGCAGACAAGAAGAAAGCTTAATCACTACAAACATTTACCCGAAGATTAATTCCAAGCTCTCAGAGAAGGGCAAAACAATGAAGAAAGGATTATAACTGAGAAATTTTTAGACATTTCTGACTGCATCTATTGTGAGTATAATGCACCGATATCAAAGCATAAAACAACTTGGAGACGGAACTTATGGGTCCGTTGTGTTGGCCAAAAACCAAGAAACTGGAGAAACAGTTGCTATAAAAAAGTAAGACCATTTTTTTMTATTCAGTGTAGGTGTTAAAACGTCRATTCATGTGCTATTATGTCAACTACTAATCATCGAACTCTGTAATTGTACATTTTTTTGTCTTCCATTGTCTACGTTATGTTATCTGTAAGGACTATAAGAAATATTTATCGGAATATATTTTTTATAGTAGTTACTCTTATCGCAATCTTAATACTTGTAGGATGAAGAAAAAGTTCTATTCTTGGGAAGAGTGTTTGGGGTTGAGAGAAGTTAAGGTCAGTATGTTMAAAAAGTTGATAATRAAAATTTACTGGCAGATCAATTCAAAGTGTCTCAATTTCTTGATACTTGTCTTTGACTTGTCCGAAAGGTGCATTTGAAGARGACTCTAACTCTAACAAATGAATTCTTTTCTTTCAGTCCTTAAGGAAGTTAAACCACGCAAATGTTGTGAAATTAAAAGAAGTTATCAGGGAGAATGATCATTTATACTTTGTGTTTGAATATATGAAGGAAAATCTATACCAAATGATGAAAAATAGGTAAGACTAACATTATTTGACAATGACTTCAAATTTATATCAACTGCATCTACTAATATTTGAGTGAAATAGTGGGAACTAGCGGTAAACTAGTGTGAGTTGCGTCGGTGTTTCTAAAGAAACAGTTATGTAAAAAGATAAATTTAACACCGTAAAAAAGGATGTGAAATAACTTACTGACGTTTGACTAATATTTGAGTGGGTTGATTAATGATAGAMATTATAACAGTAGYCTGTGCTTCATCAGGCTGTCATCCCCTGCACTGCATAGTTTCTAGAAAGATGCATACAACAACAAACTCAAACAGGTGATGATATMTATTTTTTAATTTTCAGTGATCGTTTGCTTCCCGAGTCTGTCATTAGGAATGTCATCTACCAGATACTTCAGGGTCTAGCTTTTATTCATAAGCATGGTAAGAACACATAAGAATTCCAAATTATGGACGAAAYACATTAAATCAATTGAAATTATACTCTCAGTTACTTACTAGTACGAGTTTCTTGTAGRAAATTAGACCTTAACAATTAGGGTTGTTTTGTTAAGTGATTAATGCCCTACATAGTCTAAATCCTAGTATTGGCAATTATCTATACCCATGGGGCTAATTGAGTTAACTTTAGGTTTGCTAAGAAAAATATGTCATTTAGGAGGCTTCATTTACAATAGCTTGAAAAATGAATATGTATTAAGTAAATCTTTAACTATATTGAACTTTAAAGCTAAATAATATAAGCACACAATGTATTTTTAACCTGCAAAACTGAACATATTGTTTCTCTCTACTAAAGAATACATGCTGGCTAGCAATTGATCCCAGATAGAAAATGAAGTTGAATGTAATTACATATTATGTGAAAGACTGTGTTGTTTATAAAAAAAACATMATCTAGGTTTCTGCACCTGCCTGATATTAGACAAGGGATAAAATTGTTTACTTAAATTATATTGATAAATTCCATTTAAAAGAAATGTGTTGTAAAATAGTGCACATTTTGAGGCTTAAATTCAATCTCTTTATTTTCTTATGACACCTTCGGAACCATTAGTTTCATTCATTGTACTTGACAGTTGAATTTATAGAGACAAAAGTTCTTAATCCCAGAGTTTGTTAATTGTGTGATGATGTACATGGCAAGTCAGGTTTATTCAATTTGATATATTGTTTATGAATTAATTTTATCCATTCTTATTCATAAAAGAAATAAATTAGTGTCTTAATTCAAAAATTGTTGATCAAAACATTATTTT